GAAATCATCAATGAAAGTAATAAAGTACTTACAACCTCCATATGAGGGAACCTCCAACGAACATAGGTCTGAGTGAATAATCTCCAACTGTTTTGTAGCTCTCCTTGACTTGCCCACGGGAAAGGGATCTCTATGCTTCTTCCCAATCACACAAATCTCACAGATACGATCAGGGACATTCACAACAGGTAAATCAGAAACAAGTTCCTTTCTCGCAAGATAGTTTAATCCAGAGAAATGAAAATGCCCAAACCGCATATGCCATAACCAATTATCATCACAAACTTCAGAACTAAAGCAATCAAGGAGAGTATGCTTAATTTTCAAAGGAAATAGTCGATTTTGGGACATATTTACCTTTGCAATCAAAACTCCTTTAGCATCTTCAATCGTACAACACCCCTGAGCAATATGTATCTTATATCCTTTTTCTGACAGCTGACCCATACTCAACAAATTTTGGTCTAGTTCAGGAACATAGAACACATCGGATATAAAACTTTGAGTACCATCCTTCAGCTGAATAGAGATTTTACCTTTCCCAAAATTGGCACCTTTGACTTATTGCCAAACGTTACTTCAGACCGGACGGATTCATCTAGTTCGGAAAACAATTCTTTCTTCCCACACATATGGTTACTACACCCAGTATCCAAGAACCATATGTTCTTATCTGCAGAAAAACTATCGCTGGCTAAAAGTAAAGTTTCAGAACTCTCACCAGACTTTTCAGCAGTGTTTTCAGCAATGTTTGCTTGATTTCCACGATTGTTGTCCTCATTATACCAACAATCTGCAATCTTGTGCCCATACTTACCACAATTGTAGCAATGAAATGGAAATTTACCTTGTTTGGTATTACCTCCACCTCTTCCTTGGTTGGAGTTACCACGTCCTCCTCCTTGGTTGAAGTTACCACGACCTCTTCCACCAGAACCTCCTCTTCCTCTTCCACGACCTCTACCAGATCCTCCACCTCTTTGATTAGTGCCAGTCACATTAAGGGTGACTTGACTCTTCAAAGCTTCTTCTACTAGTGGTTCCGATTTTGACGCAATCCTGTCAATATGACTTTCTACCATACCTTTCAGCTCTGCAATTGATAAGAGCTCGGTTTTGTGTGACTCTGTGATCGAAGCCACCACATGGTCATACTTCATCGGCATAGTTCGAAGAACTTTTTCAACCACTGCACCATCTTCAATCGTATCTCCATATAGCCTCATCTTATTCACCATATCAATAAGACGAGTGAAATACGCATCTACTGTTTCTGTAGAGGTCATCTCACAATTATCGTACAACCTTCTCAACGACTGCAACTTAGACTTCTGCGCCCGATCGACTCCTTTGTGTGACACCTTTAAGATGTCCCAAGCTTGTTTTGCTGTTTGAGCACGAGCTAATTGCCCAAAAATGGAATAATGAACACCTTGGTGAATCTGACCCAAGGCCAATTTATCTCGCCGTATAGCGGCTGCATCAGCTCCTTCGGGTAGACCGGGATCAACAAAGCTCCAAAGATTTTGAGCTTGCAAATGTGTGGACATCATAATTTGCCAATAATTGTAATCGAGGTTCCCATCCAATTTGGGACCCGACCATACAATATTGAAATTTGTGGCCATAATTCACTATGAAAAATACCTCGGGGTTGAAAGGTTGACTGGCTCTGATACCAAATGTTAGATATATTAAATATAATATATTTAATATAATATATATTAAATATAATATAATATATCTATAATATATATATATATATATATATATATATATATATATATATAAAATATATATATTAGAGAAAGATGGAGAGAGAGGAAAGAATGCTTTGTGATTCTAATTGATGATTAGAAATGCTTGAATAACAAATCTATTTATACTAGATAAGATAATTCAAATGTTAAAATAAAGGAGTTAATGCTCCATGTAAAGCTAACATCATGGCCATGTACTGCACCTATAATTACTCCCATTATTTTTAACCAATTAACTAACTACTTGGTTTAATATTACTAATAATAATAATAATAATAATAATAATATTATTATTATTATTATTATTATTATTATTATAACAAGGGACCATTTCGATAATTAACTCCATAAATAATTTTACTTTCTAAAATAAATTAATTAATGTAAAAGTTAAATATAAAACATATTTTACTAGTTTTCCTTAATCACGCCAGGACAAGTGGATCATGTAAAGAGAATGATGTATTATTTTTCATTTTATAAAAAATTTTGTGTATTAAAAATAGTACTGCGTAGTAGTTTATTCCCAAAAATAAAAAATAAAAAAAATAGTAGTAGTAGTTTTCTCCTACCCATATTGAACGTGGTTTTGGGCTACTTAATTTTTGCCGGGGGCAGCTGCTCACACTGCGCTCATGGCAGCTCCGTCTCGGTTGTAGTATAGTGTTTATAGATTTTAATTGAACATATAGAAGGTAAGAATATTATAAATCTACTATAAAGTAAATGAAAATATTTATGTATATTTAGTTTAGTGTTTAAGTACATTAGATTAACGTTTAGGTTTTAGACATATAGAGCAAATATTAATATTAATATAGTATATAATAATGCTATTAAATATGATGAACTAGCTGACACTTAATATAAAACAACGTCGTTTTAAATCACGATCCATCATGCAAGATGGACTATGTTCTACGGTCCATCATATAATTTGCCAAGAGTTTGCACGTTAATAGTTTTGGCCGGGAATAATTATATGGTGCAACGATATCTATATTATAAAATGGATTATAACACAAATTTAATATATTGCATGTTATTTTTAGTAAATTGTATATTGATTTTTAGTAATGTCATTATATTTCAATACATGTTCATTTTTAATGTATGCAAGTTTAAAATGAATTTTTAATTATGTCATTTAAATTAAACTTGCAATGTACTTACAAATGAATTTATATCATAGTCTATTTTGCAAGATGAATCCCGCTAAAAAATATAACGACTTTCTTGGATTACGTATATTTATAAATTAATTTGATTGTAATTTTGGGTTACCCATATTTATTTTTAAATTAATATCTAACCAAAACCATAATCATGTTGAATTATGATAAAGGAAGGTATCATGCATTCTTGCCTTTGTTTAAGTTTCAATTTAGGGCTAGGGACAGAATATATAGGAGAGCTCAAAAATCAAAATTAAATAATAATTAAGGGATAGAAAAGTCATTAGCGAAGAGTTTTCTGAATCTTTGAAGCAACAATCGCTTTGCAAACAAGTCAAAGTCATCCCAAATCTCATCCAATTTCCACATTCAGTCCCTTAATTTTCTCCATATCTAATCATCTTTTTCTATATAATCACTATAATTATAATTAATTAACACTATATATATATATATATATATATATATATATATATATATATATATATATATTCCTAAAATACTCTCACTTTAAAAAATAGACCATGTTATTATATCATCATATTTATAATTCTTTTATATTTTTTTCATCTACCAATTATAATACATTTTCAAAATATAATTTAATAATAATAATAATAATAATGTAACACAAAAAAATAACATTAAATAAAGGGCCCCACTATGCTAATGTTTTCAAATTTGGAAAGTTTGCAAAATCTTGCAATACATCTATACTAGATTAAAAATTAAAAATAAAAAATAAAAAATAAAAATTAATGTATAAATAGATATGTCAATTTACAATTCACTATCATTGGTGGTGTGTAGATAATCTAAAATTTGTTCGTACGGGTTTAACTTAATGATTTAGCAGACAATATTTGAGAGAAATGAGAAGAAGATAATCTAAAACTCTTGCCTCATATAATCTAAAACTTTTCCAAATTAAAATTTATCTCTTACCTCAATTTTATGAGAAAAACTTGTTCTCATCATTCTTATTTTTACCAAAATATAATAAATACTACTCAAATTTTGTGTAACAAATACAACTCAAAATATCCATACTATAATTTTTTTTTTTTTTTTATGTGTTGGAAGGCCCCTAGACAGCCTAAGATTACATTCTAATCCTAATTGCTTCATAGAGATTTATTTAGTACAACGGTTTTTCGAGTACCTATTTGAAAGAGATTGACAAGGGCATTAACACATTTATTTTCCTTTCTCAACACATGAGAGATCCTTGTTATCCCACATTGAATAATGATGGACTTGCAATCTAGTATGAGGTTTGTTGATTCCCACCTAGAGTTATCCTCCCTCATATTCATATATATATATATATATATATATATATATATATATATATATATATATATATATAGAGTGTAATATCATATTTATTTTTATTTTTAATACTATCGACTCTATTATAAGGTAGTATATGTTCAATATACTTTAATCCATCTATTGGAGCCTAGCTGCCCAAAGAATCAATACTCTACCGCCAGGATTTGATCGTGTGACATTTCCTCAAGAAGAGTCATTGAGGTGTCAACTGACCATTATATTTATGTTACTAAATAATACGGAGTGTCATCTTTATTTAGTAATATAAATATACTTGTGTACGGATCATTTTATATTATCAAACAAAAGTGTAATAAGGGCAACTTGTTCGATTAATAAAAATACATAATGTATATCTTTATTAACCCACAAAAGTCAAGTTCATAATCTGAATTGATACACATACTATTTTTAGATTAGATAATATATTATTAACATATAACTTAAAGGTAATAAGTAACTTCCCTTGCAAGCATTGATTCGATCTCAAGCATGCAGCAGATCAGACTGTTTCCTCCATGACTAAATTTGGTATCAAAATTCTGCATACGAAATTTATTTATTGTTTCTACACATAATCTTCAATGATTCCCTTTGCTTCCAACCATGCAATTTGCACCCTAGCTTGCTTCTAAATTCATCCCAATCATGCTATAAGTATATCTCTCCACATGCTTTTCAACCTAATTAAGAAGACATTCCCATTGGAAAACAACTTCTCAATTATAAATATATATATATATATATATGTATTTTCTATCTGTTACATGTGTATATAGTTAGGCAAGTGTATAGATATAGAAGGTTAATTAGACAAGAGCGGGTAACGATATGAGTTAACTAGTTGACAATAAAGTGGAACTTAAATTAGAGATTTCAAGAAAGATTTGTGTGCATTATATTACTAGGTTAGTACTCGATCCATCGGTTTACATTACAGGTCAGTTTTACTTTTCCCTACTCTTATATTTTTAAAATTTTATGATAGGCTTTAATTTAGAGTGTAGAAAGACAACAAAACACTTTATTTGGCTTTTCATAATTTTCACCCTGAATTAACTAATTGGCAATTATACATTATTGTACTAAGCCCGGTCTTTACTTTTTCACAATCAAAAATGGATTTTAATTTGGCTTTTCATTTTTCATGTATTGAAATTAAAGTTCCCATTTTGAAGATAATTAAGAACTAATTAATAAAGTTTTCTTCAATTCCCACTATATAATACACAGTCCAGGCCACTGGAACTCTTGACATTAATTGTTTGTCCTTTTGTTGTGCAGATATCTGCCGTTTCCGATGTGTCTCTCTAGGAAGTCTTTATATACCATGGCATGATTCCAGATCCCCTTTAACTCCTCATTTTTCTTTTCATTTCAGTCCAAATATTAAAATTTCAATCTCTTTTAATTTATTTACTACTCTGAATTTTCTTCAGGTTTTCATTTATTTCTGATCTTCATATTTTTCCAGGAAGTGTTTTTACTGATACTCATTCTGGGCTTAGCTTCTTCAAGAATTGATTGTCAGAATATTATTGGTCATGGGGGGAGCTTCAATGTTCTTGACTATGGAGCTATTGGAGATGGCAGAACAAATGATACCCAAGTACATTATTATTATTATTATTATTATTATTATATTATTCTTCAATTCCTTGAATTGAGATCTTTAATTTTAAGGAGTCAAATGATTTGTGTGTGGGACGCAGGCTTTTTTGAATGCGTGGAGAGATGCATGTTGGTCCGGAGTTGAATCTCCTGTGGTTATAATTCCTCAAAACTTCATATTTCTGGTCTACCCACTCACCTTTTGGGGTCCCTGCAATTCCAACAAAATATATTTTATGGTATAGTAGCAACTACTTATTGGTCTACTTTACTTAGTAAGTTGATATATATATGATATCATGTTTAGTTTGTGCCAAAATATTTAATTTGTTTATAAAATTTGTGGTTAGATATCTGGGGAGATAATTGCACCTTCTTCCCTGGGCACATGGAAGGGTAGAGATGCAAGTGAGTGGGTGGTGTTTAGAGATGTGAAGGGTCTCACCATTGATGGGTCTGGAACAATTGATGGGCAGGGGAAAGCTTGGTGGGATCATTCATGCGCACACCAATCATACCTGGTATGTATGTGTGTGTGTATATATATATATATAGAAAAGCGCTCGTGGTCATGTCATTAGGTGTGATCGTGTGGTTGTATCTGTGTCGTTGAATTAGTTTAATCTAACGGCAGTGGTAATTCTAAGGATTTTCCCGCATTTTGGTAAGTGGGGGTGTTATGGTAATTACAGTGGCCATTTATAGCGGGCGGGTTCCAGAATACACCAACAGTGTTGACAACATACACCAATAGTGTAATAAAACACATCACAGTGAAACACACCAATGGTGTATTCCCGTGTTATGGTAATTATAGTGGCCATTTATAGCGGCCGGGTTCCAGAATACACCAAAAGTGTTGACAACATGCACCAATAGTGTAATAAAACACACATCAATGTGATTTTCCCTATTCGGGTGTTTTATGACGAGTTTACCCTTGCAGTTCGCTGGATAGGAGAATGTGCACGAAAATACTGAAAAAATCTTGAGTAATATGATTCATTGGATCTATCTAATCTAATGGCCTATAATTGACCATATGACCACATCTAACAACATGGCCACATGTGATCACCTCTCTCTCTCTCTATATATATATATATATATATATATATATATATATATATATATATATATATATATATATTATCACTTATTGTGACTGATTATTGACTCACGGGATATACAAAATGCATGAGTGTGACTAATAATTTTTTTTTTTTTTTTAATTAGAAAGGATGCACAAGATTGGCTCCAACGGTAAGTTCAATGTTTTTTTTTTTTTTTTTTAAAGTTTAAATTTCATATGAATATTATGAACAATTTGCTTATTTAAAGTTTAAACTATTGAGCATATAATATATAAATATATGTAATCGAGTTATATATGCTGTTAGTATTTTAATTGAGATGCAAAAGATACTTTAATTTTGTATGAACCAACCCATACCAAGAGTAACTGGAAGGACAAGAAAAAGTTATCATTAATGAATGTGACATAATGAAAGAAGCTCCTATTAAAGCTGTAACTGTCCGGCCATTTAGAGTCCCAGCATTGTACATAATTAAGTACTCTCTTTAATTTTACTTTCTTGAAAATCTATAATTTACCCTTTTTTATTTCTATTTATTTATTTTTTTTGTGGGCAATTTATTTATTTATTTGTTTAGGCATTGAAGTTTGTTTCATGCAACGAAACCTCAGTGAGTAACATGTACGTGAACAACAGCCCCCAAACTCATATACTTGTACTGGGCTGCCATGGCTTCAACCTTCACAACATCTTCATAAACTCCCCTGTAGATTCTCCCAACACCGATGGCATTCACATTCAATCCTCTCACCGTTTTTCTGTTACTCATTCCATAATAAGCACCGGTATATATTTTTATTTTATACTTAAAAACTTAGAAAATAAAATGTCCCATATAGTACCACTCTTTTAATTTGTGACAAACATACAGGGGATGACTGCGTTTCAATAGGAGATTACACTTCAGATGTTGAGATTAACAATATTGTATGTGGTCCTGGTCATGGCATAAGGTAATTAATTAACAACTTATCTAACATAAACATAAATTTCATAAATTATAAAGTTTTCTTGACTTGGTACTTGTCCATTAATAACCGTTTAAAGTTTGATAATTATTCCAAATATTTAGAGTTTTGGTTTGGTTGAAAATGCAGTATTGGAAGCTTAGGGAAATCAGGAAATATTGTGCAAGTGGAAAGCATACACGTCAGCAATGTTTACTTTTCTGGAACTACAAATGGAGCTCGAATCAAGACATGGCAGGTACGTTAGTTCCAAATTAAACTTCAAATAAGACTGTGTTTGGAAATCCGAAAAATGATTTGTGCAAACTGAATCATAAAAGAACCTTTCCTTAAATTCCACATGTTTTTGGTGCAAATTAAAGGTTGGCAGGGGAACGGTCAGAGACGTAATATTTGAGAATCTTTTATTTAACTCCGTCCAGAACCCTATAATCATCGATCAACACTACTGCAACGTTCAAGGTGCCTGCAAGGACATTACGGTAACATTTTTTCATTACTAATAAAACTTTAGTCATCATCATGATCAATACAATATCGTTACGTATGACACTGTAAAATTTCTTTCTTACTGTTATCGATTTATATATTTCTGAAGAATCTAATAGATTAATTTACCCTTCTTTGATGATAGGGGAGTGGGGTTAAGATTAGCAATATTGTGTACCGCAACATATTTGGAACATCAAGCACAGATGTGGCAATAAACCTCAACTGCAGCAAGTATGTACCATGTACTAACATTGTAATGCAGTTTGTGCAGTTGTCGTCTGCTACTCCTTGGAAAATTGTTAGTGCCGATTGTGAAAATGCTTATGGCCAAGAATATGGGGTGGGACCTAGTTCTTGCTTGCTTCAATCTTGAATTTCTGTATCTAATTTAATTTACAATATTAGAACATGTATGCATGCATATGTGTAGTTACTTTTTAGGGTTGTTTAGAGTTTGAAACTTTAGAATTCCATTCTATCCTACGTTGTGAATTATGATTACGATTCTTTTGTGAATGAAAATTGGTGTATGTTATTTAGATGCATGTGATTAATTTCATTGTATGATCTGATGTGAATTCCCTAGCTTAATATTGGATTCACGGTCAATAGCCCTTTAAAATAAGGTTATACATGTTCAAATTAAAGTTAAGATTTAAACTCCTAATCAAACTTGTAACAGAAATAAAATTAAAATAAGGAGTTTCAGTTATTAAATTTGAAGTAAATGTGACTTGATTTCAGTTTCTTATGCCTTCTCCCAAGCCAAGCTATAGAACTACTTGATCCCTTTAAATTATTTTCCCACTTATTTTTTAGGCCAGCTTATTGTTCCAATTCATGCACAACTAGTCCAACACATTCCTTCACCAAATTGGTCTTCAAAAACTCTAGTTGAGCTTTTATTTTGTATTTAAATAGCAATGTCTAAGGCTTCCAAATTTAAGGTTAAGCAAATGACCAACTTGGCATCTTCATTGTGAAGCCCATTAGTGTCTTGGTGCCATCTTTTTGCTACAATGTATTGATCAGTCCATTCGTGATCTCTTACAATTTTTTGACTCTTGATCAAACGAATAATTGAATCTTCTCTTATTTAAAGTAGATTTTCAAGTGTTTGGTTGTTCTCAACATAGATCCTTCACAAGGTACACTTTACTTAGAGGGCGTTTCTCAGTTTCAATATGTGGTCTTAATTGATTGAGTGTAATTAGAGGAATTTTTTTTTTTAGTTAGAATAAACCAATAATGCCCTTATGCCACTTTGTAAACCATTAAGTGATCACTTTCCACACATAAATTGCATAATTTAGTTCAATTGGTTGCCATCAGGTTGACTTGCACTTCTTTAACAACGATTAAACAATCAAATCCGGACTCCAAGAGAATCAATGGCCAACAACTAATTGTGCTGAACTGCTGATTAATAAACGAAAAATGATAAATATCACTAAAAAAAATATTTATCTACAAAAATTTCTAATAGAAAATATTTTGCTCGTAAATAATAAAATAAGAAAAAAAAATTTATTATTTGCATTTGAATTGAAATTTTCATTCGGAAAAGTTTTTAAATACACTAAAAAGGACAAAATTTTATCAAATATTATATTGCTCATAAATAAATAATTGTTACTAGTGTCTCATGAATTGTTGAATCGTCGGATCCAACTACTGAACTCCACTATTCTTATCCCACCCATTATTATTATTTACTAATTAAAAGAATGTCAGCAAACATAATTTTTTTTAGGTGTGGTCCATGGTTTTCACTGTCAGATATAGTGACTAATTCTCTCGCTAAATTGTAGATACTTATTGGGTAGGACAGCTGGTCTAGAGATTCAAGGATGTTCCATGCCCAAAGTCAAGAATTGAACCATTAATTTTTAATTAAGAATGAACGAGTCTCTTCTACTCAAACACGCCATCCAGGTTAGCAAACATAATTAATTGTGAACAAATGTGCATATGTTGGACATGCCAACTTATTCAATTCCTATATATACTATACTCCTCAAGAATAATTGTGCATACATTGATTCAAACTAATCCATCTCTTCTTGCTTGAATAACATGGTGAGGAGCTGCTACCCCCCCCCCCCACCCTACAATTACATCTATAATTTACTTCTAGAAGTTTCTTAATCAATTTAATTACATTACAATTCGACTAAATTTGATATTTTGTATTTTTTAGGAGTTATTTTGTTTCTTATTCATTTTTAGCTTGATATCATCAGCAAGAGTTTCATGCACAAGCTTTAATGTGATAGACTATGGAGCAAAAGGTGATGAAGTGGCAGATGATTCCCAAGTACTTAACTAATCCTCCTCATTTTCTTCATATTTTTAAAGTTTTTTCTTTTCTTTTAACCTTGAAATGTTGGATATCCTATATATTGTGAAATCCCAACTATTTTGACTTATAGTTAAAATTACTCGGAATAATTTTTACAAATTTCAAAAATTGTTCAAAAGCATGTTTCCGACCACTTTTAAATGATCTGATATCTAGTAATTATTCTATAGTACTAATGTCACCATAATATGTTGCCAAACCAATTTCTAATTGTTAATTATTGCAAATTTTTAGAAGGGTAAAAAAAAAATTGAGATTATTTTTTCTTTCTTTGCAGGCATTTTTGAATGCATGGAATGATGCTTGTTCTTCATCCTCACTTCGCTATCCACAAGTGATCATTCCTGAAAACTCAACATTTCTGGTTAATCCACTTACCTTTAATGGCCCCTGCAATTCTGAATATATCTATTTCCAGGTATATATATGGTGATAAATATATTCTTTATCATTTCTTAATTTACAAGCTAGCACACATATTTATTTTCTTTAAAAATTGTCTATTTATTTTTTAATATTTAGATATTAGGGACAATTAAAGCACCAAGTTCACCCCAGAGTTGGGACGGGCACGACGCAAGCCAGTGGCTCGCATTTAAGGGTGTCAATGGACTAAAGGTTGAGGGTGGAGGGATAATTGATGGACAAGGAAAAAAATGGTGGGATCAATCTTGTAGATATCATCCTGATTTGGTACAAATATATATTATCATATGAATATAATATTTTTATGCTTTATGGTTCCAAATTTCCTGTATTTAATTTAATTGACCATAGGAATATTGCTTAATCAATTAATAACTTTATTCTCATTTACAGAAAGGCTGCACAAAACTGGCCCCAACAGTAAGTGTTTCTATCTATCTAATCTGCCAAAGTATTTAAAATTCTTTCTCCCTTTTTTTTTTAGCATTTTTTTTGGGTTAGTGGGTTTGACTGGTTGATAACATTAGCTGATTGTAGAAAGATGTTTGGTAAATTAGTTGTTTGCTGGTAGCTGATTACATGTAAAATGACTTTCTCAAAAAAACTGATCGAAAAAGCTGCTATGAAGCTTTTTGAATTTTAACGTTTTGGAGCAATAAGTTGTTACAAAAAGCTAATTAATCAAACAACTAATAGTGGTCAAATAAGTCAAAATTAACCGATAAACTAAGTATGTTACGAAACATGCCCACCAAATATGCAGGCAATGAAGTTCCTTTCATGCAATAACAGCAGTCTGAGCAACATTCATTTTATCAGCAGCCCTCAAACACATGCACTTATATTTGGGTGCAATGGCTTCAATGTTAGCAATGTGAGTGTTGAGTCTCCTGGAGATAGTCCCAATACTGATGGCATTCACATTCATGCCTCGCACCATTTGAGCATTACCTATTCCAATATAAGTTGTGGTGAGAGTGTGTTTCCTACATATTATATGGCTCTTTATCAGCATCCTTATATATAATTTGTAGAAGTAATTTGATTGGCATTTGGATTGATAAACAGGGGATGATTGTATTTCCATTGGAGACTACACTTCCAATATTGAAATAAACAATGTTCAATGTGGGCCAGGCCATGGTATAAGGTACAATTTTTAATAAGCATGTAAAATGTTTTTTTTTAAACAAAAATTATATAATGTAGAGGAAGCAATATAAGTTAGGCTCATAGTGATTCTTAAGATAAACAAAAAAAAAAAAAAAAAAAAAAAATTAATAACACAATTAAAGTAGAAACAATAAGTTTGATTTGTAAAATTGGGAACTTGAATTGACTGGGTTTATATTGCCATCATGTACGTTTGATACTAGTATTGGAAGCTTAGGAAAGAGTGGGAATTTTGTACAAGTGGAAGACATTCATGTCTACAATTGTACCTTCAATGGGACAACAAACGGAGCTCGGATCAAGACATGGCAGGTACGTTTAATTTAACGTTTGTCTCTGCAAAAAATTCGCCTTTCAATAATAATGGTTATTTATAATGTTAGTCAGTTAACTAATTTTCTTGAACTTCAATTCATCCATGACTCCGTCTTTTCTCCCATGAAAATTAAAGACCGGCAGAGGATACGTTCGAAACGTGACATTCGAAAATCTGCAACTCTTTTTAGTAGATAACCCCATCATCATAGATCAAAATTACTGCGATGTTCGCGGGGCATGCAAAGAATTGGTAATTCTGACTATATATCTGTACTACAGTTTTATTAATCGTTACATTAAACCAAATTAAAATTGGACCTCTTCTCATTCAAAATAATTCTGATCGAGATATCGGTGTTATTATAGGCAAGTGGGGTTGAAATCAGCAATGTAGTGTATGAAAGAATAAGTGGAACAGCAAGCAGAGAAACAGCCATAAACCTAAACTGCAGTAGGTCAGTACCGTGCACGGGAATAAGAATGGAGTCCATAGACATAACGGCTCAGGGACGGTGGCCACTTATTGTAGCAATGCTCGCGGACAGGAAAGTGTTGTGGTGCCTGGGCCTTGTCTCCAATAACAACACTCATTAAATTCTACCATATACATATGTAACTGTATTGTATGTCCACCTACTATATCATTCTAGTACGTAAATAAAGAGTTAATTTCATTTTCATCATACAGGTGATATATACTCTTTGGTCCGAGTATTATTGTGGAGTCCTTACTATCACCCCCGTCCCTACTGTCAGGGCACATGGGTGGGGATTAAACCTCCAACCTCATGTTTAACGGATGAGGTGCTGAACCATCGGGCCAACCATGTTTTTTTTTTTTTTTTACAGAACTTAAATGGTTCTATTAATTGAGGACAAAAAAAGGTCATGCCAGAATAATAATACGACCAAAGGGGTTATGAAAAAAAAAAAAAAAAAAAAAAAAAAAAAAAAAAAAAAAAAAAACCTAAGTGGGTTGTCCCTATGTTGCACACAACACATGCTTAATCACACATCATAATGTCTAATATGCACATTATGTGTGTGTGTGAAAAAAAAAAAAAAAAGATTAAGTGGATTGTCCCTATGTTGCACACAACACATGCTTAATCACACATCATAATGTCTAATATGCACACTATGTGCGTGTGTGTGTTTGGACAAATTAAATCAAAACTAGTCATTGATCTAGTAAATCTAACGTTTTGAAATAAATAAGACTTTATAATATATTAATATTTATGAAAATGACTCCGCTCATTTTTTACTTCATTTCCCTTTCATCAGATCTTGCAGATCAATGGTTTGAATTTGCCTTCAAGTTCTCACATGGGGAATACATTGGTTGATAATAATCACCTACAAGTCAATTTGCTCTTAAATGATTCTATTTATTATATTGAATAATATATTAAATCTAGTTGGACAGTTGATATGGTAACCACAAAATTTCAAATTTAACTTTCAATTAGAGCTATTTAATTGTCTTATTGGTTTGAACCGCTATAACAACCTAAGTTCGTTTACCTCTTTGTAGTTATTACCGGATAAGATAAAAAGACTTTAGAGCATACATTTCAATAATTGACTACTAATTTTTCTTATTGAAACACCAAAGAGTCATTACCGCCTCCACTAAGACTCATACCCACAATCTCCCATATGAGAGTATAACTTTGGTGGCATTAGACTACAATGTCTTGGCGAAAGATTACAGGTTTAATTATATACAATTGTGTAAGACGAGGAACAGGAGGAGCTATATATAATTGTGTGATTCACACTATTTTGGGCACACAATAATAAGTATGAAGTGAACCATTATCAATGCCACAACCATTTTTTAAAATAACACCAACCACTATTAATGTCACAACCATTTCTATTATTTCACGTGTTTTTTTTTTTATTCTTTCTATTATATCGAGACGAGAGAAATCGAGAAGGATCTCAAGAAAAAAAAACAATTATTAATTATAAGAATAAGGGTCAAATAGGTCACTGAACTATATACGATAATACAATTACGCCACTGAATTTAAAAAAAAAAAATTATAATTGAATCTCTAAACTAATCAATTTCATACAATTTATCCAATTTGCAAGTTTACAACATGTCATCTCAAATTAAATTATTTTTAAAAAATAAAATTTCAAAAATAATCATTTAAAATTAATTAAAAAATAAAGAAAAAAGGATTTCCGGCAGGAGACGAAGAGTTATGTTCACAATATTCTTTAATTTTCAAAAAGTAGACATATAATCATATTTGCAAATTGCAATCACTTCCCTATTTTCTCTCATAGAGTCATAGCTATATCATGGACTAACGTGCATGTATCAACATGCACGCAATGCACATTTTTTTCCTCAATTTTTTTCTAACTCAAATTTATTTTTTCTCTTTTTTTTTTTTTGGGTACAAATAAAAGTAATGCATAAAAATATACAAAAAGATTTAATTAAGATATTTTAAACAACACATTCATTGCTTTTTTCAAAATTTTAAATTAAATCTTTACTTACATAAAATCATTACTTTAGGTATATAAATCATTACATTGTTGTTGATTTATAAAGTCGCAATGAGTGAATTCCATTTTTTTGTCCTACTGTTATAGGGGCGTTTCTAATTTTAATCCACATTAATTTTTGTTACCACTTTATAACCACTATTATTGAATGTGTTCCACATTTAGTCCCACCGTTAGTATTTCTATCAAGATGCCGTGTAATCTAGGAGTATTTTGACATTTCTTCTCATCCAAGACTATGTTTGACTAAAGAAATTAGAACATTAAACCTAAAACCTAAGAAACCTCGCCGGCCCATCCCATGTTGGAACGAACGAAACGATGTAGCTTTGGCTTCCCATTCTCGTTGTTCGAAGAGCCATCTTCGAATATCGGAGGAGGAGGACGAAGCGCCTGGATTAAAAGAGAAGAGACAAACATAAAAAGACCAAAATACCCTTTGCTTATACGGCCTCTTGACGGAAATATTAACGGTGGACTAAAAGTGGAACCCATTCAATAACAGTGGTTGTAAAGTGGCAAAAAAAATTAAAGTGGACTGAAATTGAAAACGCCCCTATAACAATAGGACCAAAAATGGAATTCACTCGGTCGCAATTATAGATATATAAATTTACTATTGTATGTACATAAATTCACTACTTATGTTTATAAAAATTACTATTGGATTCATAAAACTACCACTACATATCCATAAAGTTACTATTGCAAGTAGTTCATAAAGTTACTATTACATGTTCTTAAAATCACTTTCATTAATTAACTTATACATGTTAATTAATAAAGTCAATATTACAAGTTCATAAAATCTCTATTACAAATTAATCACAAATTATTAAAATGGTGTATTAAAAAAATATAGCAATATAGGTTTAATTTTAAAATATCTTCTGTGACGAAATAATTTTATATAAAAAGAAATAGATAATAATACATTTTAGTGATAATTAATCAATTTGTTAAATTTTATTAACATGAAATATTCTTCCAAAAGGCTGAGCCCCAACCCTAAGGGCCCCCCACACCCCGGCCCGACAGAGCATTTGGGAGGATGTAAATCATGGTGACTCAACTGAACATGAACCATAGAGGGTAGACCGGTGCTCACTGCGCACAAAGAGCCCCCCTCACTTTGAGAGGTTGCTCCCACACTGCCGCTGGTGAGACTCGATCCCTGGTCATTCTTCTAAAGTTTCACCTCTAATTAATCAATTTGTTAAATTTTATTAACATGAAATATTATTTTTATATATGTACGTTAAATTATTTTTTTTTAATGACCACATGTTATTATTTTTATATACATGAGTTCATGTTGGAACATAAACCATAGTCCATGATATAATTTGCCAGATTTTATCTTATCTTTACCAATAAAATTATTTTCTTTTCATAATTATTTAATTTGCTTCAATTAATTAATATCTAAATTACTTTAAAATATTACAAGATTAAAAAAAAAAAAAAAAACAAATTACGTAAAAGGTAGCTATGATTTTCTATTGGTAAGTAGAGAATTATATCGTTGTTGTTGTTGTTGTTTTCTTTCTTTTATCCTATAGGGCATAGCAACCTACGGAGAGACCGATAAAGAAATTAATAAAGTGTTGGAGGATAAAAATGTAATATCCTCCCATCCTTTTTATTTTCTATTCTTTTTCCCTTATAATCAGTGTATCCATCTCTCTTAATGAATAACTAGTAGGTGCACCCGTGCAATGCGCGGCTATATATATAGTATGATATATATACATTATAATATAATTAGATAAAAAAATATATAGTTTGAAAACCTAATAAATTTGAAATAATAAACTTTGTAATTTTATGATCACTCATGTATTGATTAAAGTTATCTACCACATCCAATGTTGGAGTCAAAATAACACTGTTCTTAAGATATGACAGATCACTTATACCGCGTCGAAACAAAGGGAATGTGTTATCAACAATTGCAGCAATACGATCATCGTCACACTTGAGCAATAAGTGATCTGGAATTGTAATATTTGCTTCACTATCAGTTGAATTACCAACTACTACATCACCTATATTAGCTATTCATTTTGCAAACTCTTTAATCTCTTTAGCCTCAATCTATGATTGTACACTTCTTAGGCGTAGATTCTTAGTTAGCCTAAATACTTTACAGGATCTCCAAAGATATGAGAAATTGATGCTTGCCCCATCACTCATGTAGCATAATCCGACATAAATTCAATTCAAATCTCAATCACTTAATAAATAACTGGATTATTATTGAATTATATTGTATTACCTATATGGACCACATTTAGCAAAATATTACAGCTTGACCGTCCATCATTCCATGCATTAGTTATTTTCTTGCTTTGTTTTCGCGTTGCGAAAAAGTGAGAATTGATCTAACCTTTCAATTTGACAAATTTTTTTATTAAAATTTTTAGTCATTGATAAATCATGATAAATAGACAGATAGTTAAGATTGATATAAAAATCTTTCTCTCTTTCATACACATGTATATATCAGGATCATATGTGAGCTGTCCTTTTTGTGCGAATCTGCGAACTATTGAAGGAATGCACCGCAACCGCCACAGACATGTTTGCGCCTCTTCGTAGATACTTTGCGGTGCATTCCTTAACGAAATTGAAGGGATGCAGTAAATTCGTGTATTAATTGCGATGTATTCTTTCAATTCGTACAGAAAGAATAGTTCTCACCTAAATTGACCCAATATATATAACCCGGCCCCTTCAATAAAGCTAGTCCACAGTTAAATAATATATTAATATATAAAACTAACATCAAATTTAGGCTACCACATGGGCATTGTAAAATGATAGCCTTTTTTTTTTTTTTTTTTTTTTAAGGCATGATAAAGACTCAAATAATTTTCATCACCGACTGTTTGTTTCGGATTTTCGTGAAACGATAAAATTTCTAGTATACCATGCTATATTCAGATGATCGATAACCAATTATATTACACAGTAACACAAATACAGTCCAATAGAATTCAAAATCAATCAATTCACTGTTCCCAACAACTCAATCAATCAATTTTTCGTACTAATTAAATATTTAGACACTAGATGTGACAATCAATTTTTCCTAATCTTGCCCAAATTAT